CCTACCGCCCCGAGGCCGAGCTGAGCCGGGAGGACACGGGCTGCAACCTGCAGCACATCAGCGACCGGGAGAACATCGACGGTGAGGGCGGGCGAGCGGCCCGGGGAGCCCTACCTTCCCTTCCCTCCTCTCCCTTGCCCTCCCTGCGGCGGGGCCGCAGCTCTGCCCCCCGCGGGTGGGGCTCGGCTCGGGCGCTGAGCCCGCTGCCCGGACGCGGTGCCCTGAGGGGCTCACGGGGCTGTCGCAGCGTATCTGCGCGGGGTTTGTCCTCCGGAGCTGCCCCTTTCCCCGGGGGTCGGCGCGAGGGGATGTGCGGGACCCTTCCCGCCAAGGCTGGGCAGCAGTTCCCCCTCCCCCGCCCAGCCGCATCCTCTGGCAAGGTGCAGTTTTTGTGGTCCCGAGGCGGCGCTGCCAGGACCCTTCTCCTTCCAGAGTGGGGTGAGATGGCATGACGGTCACTCGTCCGTGCCGCGGAATCCCGGCTGACTCTAACAATAGTCTCGGGGGTCGGTTGTGGCCCGGGGGAGCGTCCTTCTTCGCAGGGCTGGGCAGCGCAGTCGCTGCTGTACCGAGCCAGCGTCACCCGCCGGGGATGGCACCTGCCAGGCCTCTGCAGGGGTGAGAATTTAAAGGACAAACCCAGCTAGCAACAGAAGTGGGAGAAATGTTTCCCATGACAACCTTCTCTCCCAGTGACTTTTTCTTCCCCTGTTACTGTCAGAGTGAAGCCCTGCTCTGTGGAGTCATGAATGCCTCCTTTCCCTCTCCCTCTTTTTCTCTGCAGTGCTACTCAAAAAAGCCATATTCCTGATGGTTTAGCTAAGATTGAATAGGCTGTTGTTTGGGATAACCACAATACAGCTTAATTTTAAAGTTGTGGTTTAATGTATATATGTAATTTAGTTTTTGATTAGCTGAAGTATTTAGCCCTAAAACTTCACTTGGTAAAAGGTCAGCAATCTCATGGATTAGTTTACATGAACTGCACTTGGTAGAAAGCCAGAAATAGGGACTTTGGTGCACTTCAATTTGCCTTCTGTATTTTTTTTCATAGCTTATTTGATTGTGATTTTATTGAAGAGTTTTTTGTTAAGTCACTTCTTGGTACTGGCAAAGCTATGCAGCCTGTAGAAGCAGAGAGGTTCCATCTCTGGTTAAGAGTATTACTTAGTAAAATACATTCTGGAAATATGAATGTTTTTCAGATGTCTGTACTACATGAAGCTGAAAAATTGGAGTGTAACAGGATCAGTAGGTCTGGTTTGAGAAAGCCAGGGAGATAAAAGAACCAATTGTTTATCTATGAATGAATGAGTGATTAATTCTTCTAACACTAGTGTTGTCCAGTGCAGCAGCATGCAGTTCTCTCTGATGGTACAGATTTCTCCAACTATACCAACACAGTCTGCAGTGAAGTTTTTGGTCAGAGATGTGTTAGGTTTTTTCCCCTTGTTCTTGATAGTATGTGTGTGTGTGTTTGTTTGTTTGTCTTCCTGGATGGGAAGAAGCGCATAGTAAGTGCATGTGTGCTTGTTAAACTGGGCATGTAATGCAGGTAACTTCATGCATCTTAGTAGTGATTTGCAAAAAAACCTTTATGGGTCAATTTCATATGTTGGATCAACTTGTGTATGTTCTTTCTTTTCCTCTAAACTCTGGCACGTTTAGAGCCTGGAATTGTAACCTGTTGTTATAAAACAAAAATTACCTGTATTATTATTTATTTTTTAATTTTGTTGGTTTTGATCTGTGACTGTTATTGGTGCAATACTGCATTTTCAAGTGGCCAAGCTGTTTTTAATTCTAATAATAGAAAAGAATTTTGGGTTTCCTTTTTTTGCCTTACACTAGTCTTGCCTCTTTTTATGGATAGAAATAAGATTTCACAGAGGAGACTGATGAACAATAACATCTGAACACTCAAAACAACTGGAGATGCTTTGGGTAAAGCAGCTTTTTGATGTGTGCAAGGTTGTAGATCCATAACCCTGGAGTCAAACTCACTACAGGTCTTTTGGTCAAAGATGGTAGACTGATTACTAAATGTGATAAGGTGATACTGTGTTCCTGAAATTTTGTTTCCTGTTTGACTGTTATGTTTTGATTGTTAGATTTTCTGAAATTGTATGGCATACAGATGTTTACTGATGAGACCCTGGGGTGGGAAAAAAACCTTCACAGTAGAGAATTCAAATTGTATCTTTATCATTTTACAGTGATGTTCTTTACAATGAAAAAAACCAATAGTCTGTTTATCTGTCATGAAGAAGTAGCAGTGGATGTTGATTTCTTAGTGTTCCTGCAAATCATAAAGCATTTCCAAGAGTTTCTGAGATGGGTAGTGTTGCCAAATGTACTTAAAAAAGTATCAGTTTTAAAGAAGTGGTGACAAAGACTGACTGATGCAGTGAAATGAAACTTTTTTGATGCTTCACATTTATGTTTCTTGCTATTCTTCAAGTGAGAGCCCTTCCATCTGTCTCCATATGTGTAGCAGTGACAGTCAGGTTCTCAAAGGGCAGATCCATGTCCCTAACAAACATTATGAGTGGTACTTTTGGGGACTATAACAAATAGTGACATGCAGTGTCTTAGTTAATATGTTTGATGTGGATGTTGCCTTCATGGTTATAGTCATTGAAATTCATGAAACATTTTATTTTTTGAAGCGGGTAAAGCTGCTTGAATAGAACAAGAACTCTTAGGACCTTTTAATCAGCTGTGCTCTGTTTAAGCCTTTAAAAGAGATGCGTGTTTTTTGCTTTTGTGGGCCCCATTTCTAGCAGTCTGAGAGGGAGGAAGAAAAAGAGGGAAGTCAAGCCTTTAAGAGTGATTTAATTGGAAGTTTTAGTACTAGTGGAGCTGTTTGCAGTTTGCCAGTCATACATATATATATATAGAGAGAGATACACTTCATTAGGAAATATGTGTCGAATCTGCTTTCAGGATCATGTATTTGAATTTTCTCTTATAATTGAAGTACAATACTCAATTCAGTCATAGTTTTTCAAAGAGCTTTTGGAATCCTGCTTCAATAGGAATGGGGCTTATAGCCAAATTTTATCTCTACATCACTTGTACCTTGTTAGAAAATATCAATTTCTGTAATATTTCCCAACTGTTTATGAAGTGGTATCTGAAAGTGAAAGGAGTTTGGAGGAATTTGATTAGGAGGAATTTAGCAAATTACTTACTCTGGAGAATTCTAATGATGAATTTCTCCTTCTTCCTTTGGACTTTTATAAAAATTCACACTTTTTTTTTTGTTTGTTTGTTGTTGGTTTTTTTTGTTGTCCCGGCTCATGATAATGAGGAACACCTAACAGCTTTTTTTAAAAAAAGCAGAGGCTACTATCTGGTTCTGGTGATTTATCGCTGATGGGGACCTTCAACACTTTTCAATGCTTCACATTTAAAAATTTACTTTAAGAAAATTATGACAGTGGATTCAAGACTTTCACTTTCCTAGCTCTGTCTCTTTGCCATCAACACTTTTGTTTTTACAGTGGTGTTAATTACAATAGTAAGTAAAATTGATAAAAACCTTGATGTATCAGATTCTGTATCTTATTTGCATATAAACTCTTGCCTGTGCAAGCCTTGTAAGCATCTTGATGTTATGCATTGTTTAAATCCTGGCTAGCTGGACTGACTTTACTCCAGACTCTGCTTATTCTTTATGTCAGCAGGCCTCAGAGTCCGATCCACTCTTGGTTTAACTTGTGAAAAAGTGCTGATGTGCTCAAGTGTGATTTCTCTGTTTGAGGTATGATTTCTGCAGTAACCTTTTCAAGTATTGCTCTGTAGGGAGAAGGCAAAGGCAACATCTTATTACAAGTATGATGACATGAAGCAAAGCTGATGTCCTATAATGACACTGTCCAAAAGGCTGTTCTTGAAATGGAGACTAGATGGAGAGCTCCTAGGCTGTTTGAAGAAAAGATAGTTCTTAATTAGCCCCTTCCTTGTGTCATCCTTTCCTTCCCCCTCCCCACCCCCCCCACCCCCCATCTGTTTTGTTTTGTGTTCTTTCCTCTTTGCAATCTCCTGCTAGTGTGTCACAATGCCATTTTTCATTGCTAGCTCAGGTAATGTCACCCTGTCTTAATGGTGCATCACTGATAAGCCTCTTCAGCTCCTTTTCATGCTAGGCCAATCATATTAATTTTTTGCTGCATAATACACAGGCTCCTAAGAACAGACTGGTTTTTAAAAGCCATTTATTTGTTAGTTTACATACTTTTTTCTTCACCTTCTTGAAACTGGCACATGGGAGTCTCTGAAATTAGATTAATTAGTATTTGTGTATCATGGTCTTCCGGGGTTTGTAAGAATTAAGAAAGAGATTTTAGCAAAACACAGGAAAGTTTTCAAATATCTGCCCCGCATACCTAATGAAATTTTACTGTATGAGAATGCTGGTGTTTTCAAGAGCTAGGACATGATGGGTTGCACGTTGTGAAGGAACTGACCTACATTCACAAAAGTCAAGATATAAGCACTTGAAAAGCAACTTAAAGGTCTAGTATGTTGAATTCCTGCTAACACCTGGATTGTGAGAGGAAAGCCCTTCTTTAAAAAAAAAAAAGAGAGACTATTTGCTTTATAGAAAAGTCTCTTTCAAAAATCTTCTTGTTCCCTTAGCTAGAATTCCTGTACAGAGGGGTTTAGTATGCTTTTCAGAGCTGTTGTTTGCATTACCTACCTAAACATTTGTCAGAGGTCATGTATCAGGATACAACTGCAATCTTGTGCATAAAAAACCTAGAAATGGAGGCTGTTGTGGCCTTCATGGCTGAATTTAGTCCTGTGCTTCCTGCTGCTAGTGATGCGTATCCCACAGCTTTCTTTTTGCCTTATGTGTGATCAGCTTAATCTGTTAATTTTGTGCTCTGCCCTGCTGCTTGAAGAGGCACCATCATATTGTACAAAGCCCTTCTAAAACCTCACTTTCTGTTTGTTCCCATCAAATCTGTAAATGTACACCCTTTCTGGTCAGTATTTCCATATTTAGCTCTACAAGCTTTCAGATGCGCTCGTACTAAAGCTAATTTCTAACTTACATCTAACCACTTTTATTA